AGTGAGCGACACTGTAATTAAATGGCAGAAATGAATCTTTTTTATGCTTGAAAATTACATTAATTTTTGTGTGATTTTCCTCCTAAGGATGGAAACAGTTTTCCAAAGAGGAGATGTCTTTAGAAATAGGAAGCCGCGCGTGCACCCGCGGGGAGGGAAGGGTGCTGTTGTTTACAAGAATTAACTTTTTTCACATTAACTAAAGTCATCCCAATAATTGCTTAGCAAAGCTTACTTTGAAAACCGTTCCAGAGTCTTGAAGTCTGTTTCCAGAGGCTCATGCAAAAACTAGTTTCCTGATTTACTGCCGGGAGGCGATCGTGTTAAAAGCACACTGTTGGCATTAATGCTCGGTGCGGAGGAGGGGCCGTGGGCGGGCAAACTCTAGACGGTGAGAATTCAAGTCTAATGTGGTCACTTCGGGAAAACAAAAATCATCTCCCGCTCACTCTCACGAGCCCCCAGGACGCCACCGAACGCTCCCGCACACGGTCGTGGTCAAAACGCCCAGCGTAGCTTGCTTACAGAGCCATGGAAATCACACTCGGTATTTTTGGCCTCGGAAATAGGAAAAAGACATTATTCATTATCTTTATCATAAACTTTCAAAGACTAAAAATTAAACCCTGCAGTGGGGGAGAGAGTAAATAGGGCTCAAGGAGATAAAGTCCTCCACACAGATTCTAAATGGCTCGGTGACCCGTCACATATTTTCCCAAAGATTCCGGAAAACGACTTCCTAAGCTGAGTTACTAAAAAAGAGCCGAAATGACAGAGATGGTGCTTGGGGCCCTGTGGGAGGGACCTGGGAACCGAAAGGGCTGCTGAGATGCTACCGCTCTGCGTGGCCCCAGGGCAGCGCTGGTGGGCGGAGCCAGCGGAGTGGGAGGGACAGGTGGGGACCTGGACAAGCGCACTGCCTGGAGGAGGAGGGCGGGGAGAAGGCTGCTGGGAGCAGCTCCTGCATCGCACACGCTGGGATATTTGTCTGTGTTTTCAAAGTTGGTCCTAAGCCACTGCTTCTGGAGGGAAGTCGATCATTCTAGAACAACACTGTCCAATATGACAACCATAACCTCACATGGGGAAACTTAAATTTCATTACTTAAAATGAAATAAAATAAGCAACCCAGTTCCTCGGTGACACCAGCCACAGTTCACGTGTTCGATAACCACAGTGGCTCGTAGCACCCGTGTTGAACAGCACAGGTAGAGACCATGTGCATCAGCACAGAAAGTCCTTCCAGGTGCACTGTCCTCGGGCATTATCAAGGCGGGAGGCAGACGGTGACCCCAAGAGCCCCCCTCCCCCCGACACTGTCACCTACTTACAGTGATGGTGGACACACCGACTAACCTCTGTGTCGCATCTGTAAACAGGAGTAGTTATATATACTCCCCACTTAAGACGTATGCTGTAAGAATTCCTTATGTCGTACAAAGATCACATAGAACCTGGCTCACTATAATACATGTTGGCCAATGTTAGCTATTTTCATTGCATGGTATATATCACGGACTCACAATTAAAGACATTTTGAGAGAGAGTCCATATTTTTTAGGTTAAGACACACCCTGCCGATGAACACACGCAACGTACCCAGGGTGAAAGGTGAAAATAAGTACTCGTTTAAAAAGTGGCCAAAGATGAGAAGGGTACTGCCCTCAACAAGCATCAGGGGTCTTATTGAACCCGGAGCTGCTGCGTAGACTCCTTACGCTCTCACAACTGAAAGGAAGTAAAAAGCGGTCGGGGAGCGCTGACCACACACCACAGGTGAGCAGAGCACATGCTGCCCCTGGAAAGCTCTTCCGGCACCTTCCAACAAGCCCAACTGCATGTCCCAATGCAGAGACCTAACCGTGGGAGAGTGAGCCACACCTCGTGAAAAGGCAGGACTGAATGCCTTCCAAAGAAAATAATAATTAGGAGCAATAAAACCACAGATGGAAATTTCAACCACACCTGCTTACCCGAAGTATTTGCGAGCTTGAGTTTTAAGGTATAGATATACATTTGTAATTCGAAGAACCTCACGACCCGGAATTTATTTTGGATAGACATGATAGTAGAAGAATGGACAGAAGTTTTCAGTTACGCTTAGTACAGCAGAATAAGTTACATAATAATGTTAGAATAAAGATGATTAAAAACTCTATGCTTGGTGAAAATGCTCTTTTAAAAATTCTTAATGTAAAGAAAACTTTAGTTGTGGATATCAATAATTTGATCCAGCTTCCCTACTTTTTCATAACTAATTATAAAACGTTTGCTATTTACTGTGCTTTCAAAATTTCAAACACCACTGGTAGCCGAAATGGTACACCTCAGTTAAAAAAGTAAAGACTCCTGTACTCATCTGCTTCATTACAAATTAACAGGTAACCCCCCCAATGATATAGTTAGTATTCCAAGCAACAAGCAAATAGACTATTTATAAATGTAGTTATCTAACAATTTAACAAAAACTCAGTCTCAGTGAAAAGAAGAAATTTTGCCTTGATTTGCAAAGCTTGGAAGTGACAATTAACCAGTTGAACATACTTGTTGATTTAAGTGATTTATCTGATTTTAATATACTCAGAACTTACTCTTCTTTCCTTTGAAAGATGTATGTTCTTGCTAAAAATTTAATAAAGGCAGCCTGGAAGGAAGAAACTGCAAATTCATGAGTGGACAGTTTAGAAACTTCCAGCTCCAAAGTAATTGTTTATAAAAAACTCACATCCTTTGCCTTGATTAATTAACTAGAAAATAAAAATGTATTTTTACTTCCATAGGTGTATTTGACTCCTTTGCCTTTCTTATGTTTTACATTTTAGACCCTGAGCGAGGCTCACTTGCTAATTTTATTTACTAAGAGCTAAAACCAAGCTAAAAGACTTGGCAAAACATTATTTGCAACACACAATCACACATTCATTAACTTTTATATTACTAGATTTAACTGTCACCTTTTTTTCCAAAACCTATCCGAGGCTGACAGACTCGTCCACTCCTTGAGCAAAGATTCGCTAAGTGTCTGTTACAAGGAGCTGGGCGGTCTGTTTAGACAGTGAGGGTGAAAGCTGAGGGGTTGCCTGCCTGCAGGGTGGACACCTCAGGACAGGCAGGAACACGCTCTACATTTGTAAGTTTGTGCTTCTGAGTGGGTCCTGAGAATCTAATATTTCAGTGGCGTCGTTACCTTTACTTTTACTCTTTCTCACTCAATGTTTTGTCCTGGTCTTTTTTTGATGAGGAAAATGATCATAAATATTAATAACTAAAATAAGTACACACAGGCAGGGTATTCAGATTGTTTCCTTTTGGTTGCCCCAATAAAGTTGGACAGCTACTGCAATACTCGGGGAAAATTACTACCTAATGAAAAATACTTCTTATGGATATCTGTGGGAAGTTATGAAATACAGAAACTGTTATCAGATAATCTCAGAGGATGGATTTAAAAAAAAAATACTGCGAGCTGACAGAACCTCCATCTTCATTCTCTAGATAAAGGATGAAGGTTAGGGAGCAATTCCTTAGAAGTGATTCACTCATCTCTTCGAATCTGTGATTCGTTCATATTTTCACAGAGATTTGACAAAAGAACTCTGAGGGGTAGAAACATCCCTGTTTTCCTCGCGGGCACAATCGCATTCTTAACTACTTTGTTGACAGATCCTAGATATGCAGCCCTCCTGTTATAAAGGACCTTTTTACATCCAACAGAGCAAAACCTATGTCTGAAAACTCATGTTACTACAATCCACAGGGATTTAAAAAACATCGGCCAGGGGGCTTCAGCAACTAGACGCCGCAGAGTTCAAAATTCAGCCAGTTCCTTCCAAGCGGACGGCACAAGAAGCTGAAAGCCGACATATTAAGCACAACACCCAGAGAGGCCATCCACCAGGAATCGCTTGTGGAATGCATAATTCTTTGTTTCCTGCTGTTTGCAGACCATCGATCAAAAATCTATGAATGACAAGACTCAAATTCAGAGAACAGCAGACTGTAGGGGAAAGGACTTCTCTTTGAAAAGTCACTTAAAATAAAAAGACACATCTTTTGTTCCTTTTCTAACAGGAAGACCTTGGTGCATTCTTTAGAACAAAACGATACATCAATTGTCCACAACTGGTAACGTCTTCAAAAGGTCAGAAAATAAAGCAAATGCATGTGCGGCTCTGAACACGCTCACAGCAAAGTGCCCAGGAACACCCAGAACTCTGAATCCACCCAGTTGGAACACAGCTGCTTCACAAGCAGTGGTGAAGATGAATACATTGAAGATGCTCCCGGGAGTAGCATCTACTCAAAGTGGGAAAATTAATAATCATACTGGCACTGTCAAAGGAATGTTCCAAACCCCGGCTTGGAAAAGAACTGTGACCTTGGAGCCTGGTTACTTAAGACACTGCTGGGGCTCTGTTTTTCTTGACTAGTAATTGTAACCTTAATTTTAAGAAAAAGAAGGCCCAGTAAATAGTATTATTACCATTTTCTGTTATCAATGCTTTATTTATAAATCTTTAGTAGAATGCTGATTCTTTTTAATTAGAGCAAATAAACCTTAATGATTCTATTCTTTTTTAAAATTTATTTTATTGAAGTATAGTTGACTTACAATGTTGTGCTAATTTCTGCTGTACAGCAAAGTGATGCCATTATTCGTATACTTTTTCATTACAGTTTATCACAGGTCACTGAATAATTCCCTGTACTATACAGTAGGACCTTGTTGTTTAATGATTCTATTCTTTCAATAAAATACAATAAACACTAAATTATACACAACAATGACATTTATTGAATTACGGTTATTAGAATATATTTCTTTTATCTCAGTAAGACACATGAATCGAATGTATTGAAAAGGGAATTGTGCAATATTTGGCTAAAGGGACGTGACAAACCAAGAAATCTTCACTAGTCATTAACTGAAAGAATTTAGCTGAAAAGAACGCATTTTAAAGACAGAGATCTACGACTTTCCCACACACCCGACAGTTACCTTGGACAACTCCATGCCTGGCCCACACTGCTTGCAGAGAACACAATTTCCTGACTGATTCCTGAATTCCTGTTGTCCACAGTCTCCTGTTTCACAGATCACTCTACATGCCTGAAATAAATGTTTCACAACATGTTATCTTAAGGGAAGTTAATTCTATTTCTCACAAAAAAGGACTAGTATCTTCAGTGTTATTCGCATAATCACTGAATGTAAACATTAATTCAGAGTGAGGCCAACTCAGTTTTCACTTTAGGAAGAATAACCACTTTCTGGAAAAGTCAGTGGAACAATTAAGTCAACAAGCCTGATTCCTCTCTGTATTCCCTGAATGAGAGTTCTCTTTTTCTGGATTTAACTGCTATCTTCTTCTGACACTTTTCTGAGTACCCAAGGTAAAAACAGGTAGAAACTGCCCTCTTTTCTAAGTAAGAAGATGTACAAAAGAACAGTTATGCAGAGACCGAGGTCCTTTTGCAACCTGAAAAAGTCTGAATTCAAGAACTATATTTTTGCTCTTTAAGAAAACATAGTCACCCATAATGAGTTGAATAAATAAGTAAATGGAATACAAATACTAGTCCCAAGAGCTCTGCTATTATCCTTTAGACATATCTGATACCCAGCTTTGATGCAGAAGTTTTTCAGCTGAATTCCATTTACTTAGAGTTCATCATTCAAAAAATTCTGACAATCGTGACATCAGTAAAATTCCTGATAATGATGAAAATAACAATGGCCCAATTCTCTGAATGCTTCAGAGTAAAAGTGTCATGTAAACATGAACTTACTTTCCTACTGACTGCCATTTTGCCACTTAAATTGGACCTAACAATATACTTTTTTTAAAAATTAAAGTATAGTTGATTTACAATGTTATGTTAATTTCTGCTGCCCAGCAAATTGATTCAGTTATACATATATATACATTCTTTTTCATATTCTTTTCCATTATGGTTTATCTCCAGATATTGAATATAGTTCCCTGTGCTATATAGTAGGACCTTGTTGTTTATCCATCCTATATGTAATAGTTTGCATCTGCTGACCCCAAACTCCTAATCCATCCCTCCCCCATTCCCTCCCCCTTGGCAACCACAAGTCTGTTCTCTATGTCCTAACAATAAACTTTGGTTCACAGCATAGGACTTAAATGCAAAGATTATCTGCTTTGCAAAAACAAAGGTTGTAAGTCATTTTCAAGATATAGTCTTTATTTCTTATTTTACCTAAAAATGTAAGTTCATCACATACACACCATCCTACAAAAGTGTGTGTATCTGCTTCTTAACAGACAGTATTTCATTAAAAATGTTGATATTAACAGAATCTCAGACTGGTGACAACATTCAGTTCAAACTCTTACATCAAGCAGGGACTCCCTCAGTAACATTCCTGACTATTGACACAATTTTGTTTCCCTAAAGGAAAACTGAGAACCTCAGGAAGCACTGGGGGAACAGAGGCTGGTGTGTGTCATGTCCACGGCACAAGTGCACAGAAATGGTTTTTGACGGTTATAACAATGGGAGGTTATTCAGTACAAACTGTCTCCACCTTGGAGCAAATATCTATAATGAAGTCAGCCAACCTCCTTAAATAAAATCACAGCCTTAACCTCTAGAGCAGGCAGGAGGGAGAATCCAAGGTGGGGTTCAAGACCAAACCATGATTTGGGGCTAAAGGTCTAGTAATCACCTCCCACCTTTCTTAATCCTCATTAACAACCAATCTTAGAGGAGTTTGGTTTTATTTAAAGGAGAGAGGAGATTCCCCTCCACCACAAAGACACTGCATCGCTTTGAGAAAGAAATGCCTCAGCTTCTCTTGTGGACCATTTCTTCCAATGTTTAACAACCTCAGCTCAAGGAAGGGATGTTTTCCTTACATCTATCTGCATGTCAGACTCCAATCGGACCCCATTTCCTCTTCCTTTGTCTTCCAAGAAGACTTCAGGAACTGTCTTCAGTGTAAATAATTCTTTTTATATTTGTAGATCATGACTGCATCTCCAGATTAAATGTTTCAGTAATTCCTTTGAACACCTACATAGATGTTTTGTGTTAAAGCTTTCAAACATTACAATTCTCCATCTGTCTTTGATGCTTTTTGAAACTATGTAAAACAATAGCATTTAAGAAATGATTCCTAATTTTTCACAACCTGTGAAGTCGTGGGCTCCAAACTAGAATCTAAGGTCTTGTTAGGCTGTGCTGGGAGCAGCATCTGCCTACAAACTCGATGGAGCAACATTATCACGCAGCAACGAGCGATGCTGTGGTTTTATGATTTCATCTAGATTTAAATAAATAATTGTGACCACTGTTACACAAGTCAAGACCCAACAGCAACCTCTGACTTATTAATTATATGCAACAATGATAAAATGAATTTGAAAGAAAATTTTAAGATACGGGGTTAGAAATAGAAAATAGATTGGGTACTAGTTCTATGAATTCTTTCCCCACATTATGAAAGTAAAGAGCTGACTTACCAAACAGGCTAGTAAAACTACAACCGTGCAAAATGCTTTCTGTTGTTCTAGTAGCACTTTGAAAGCCATTGCTCTCGTTAAATGTATTTCTGGTTGAAGAGCTCTAAAAGATAAGAAGATACAGTTAACATTAATAACATGAGTGACTGCTTTCTGTATTTACTATACAATGTTACCATTTACTATATACACTAGTAAACCATAATATTATTTAGTATGTTAGTAAGACATAACACTATTTATGTTTTAAAAGGAATCACCTTTTAAAAGGATACCATAGACAGGTGCGATGTAATTCTTTACAGATTTAGGTTATGAGAATTGAAGCTTTGTCTACCTACAGAGTATATACAAAATTCCTGCTGGCTCTGAGTTCCCAGGCTACACATGCCTTTATTTTCTTTCTATCCAAGTCTCTACAGTGTCCAGTCGACTTCACCCAGCAGAGAATCACATTCAAACTGTGACTTATAGAAACCTTCCATTTATACGGGTTTAGTCATACAGGATGATAACAATGATAAAATAACAATTAACACATGCTAAGTACGCCATGGCAGCTACTATTTTTAGCAGAACTCATTTCATCTTCACAACTACTCTAGAAGGTGGATACTGTCATTATCCCCGTTTTAGAGATGGGGAGACTGAGGCTCAGAGAGGCCTGAGTCACTTGCCCAAGGTCACATCGCCAGTGAGAGGCAGAGCTGGATGCAAACCCAGGTGGGTGGCTCCAATGTCCCCGTGTCACATACACCTGAAAACAACCTGCTCCGTTTAATAAAAACTGTGTGCTTGGGTATTGGGCCCTTCAGCTCCACTAAGAAGCAGAAATAGCTAACATCTGGCATGTGTGAGCTCTTCCCCAAACCAGTGCAGTGCAAATCATCTACGAGCAGAAAAATGAGCATTTGTTTAAAACCATCTAAAAATCATTTACAAGTGATGAACTGGAGGCAGTATCCTGACATTTCAAGAAAAGATAAACTAAGCCTCTTTGTCCTTACCAGGAATGATCGAAAATGCAGAAATGAATCTGTTTTGTTTTGTTTTACAGATTCACACAATGTCAAGAGAAGAGATTTATTTGAAAATGTTTAAAAGGTGAAGACTCACCTGGTTGCTCCATTGATCAGACAGAGAAAAAATGGTTCCGTTTCTCTTTAACAGAAACCCAGAGCAGATAACCTGACTAACTGGAAAGAAACCAGAGCAGAGAACCAGAACCAAAGAGCTCAAGAAAAACAGCAACAATAACAAGAAAGGAAGCGGGCTGAGCAGGCTGCTGTCCTAACCATGGACCAAGCAGCCAGCCAGGGGCGTACCCCTCCCCCGCCTGGAGACCAACCCAGGTGGTCATCCCAGCTGCCCCAGCAGCTCCAAGCACCAGGGCAATGAAAAATCATTTGTAAGCTTGGCTGAATGAAAGACCCATTTTGAGTGAATTCAAACGGCTTTTTTTTTTTTTTTTTTTGCTTTTCCAGCTTCTTGGTCATAGCTTTTTTTCCCCTTGCATATCTCAAAATCATCCAGCAATTACCCAACCATGCAACCTGCTGCTGTGTAGACAAAGAATTGGGGTCAGAAGATAAAATCACATTCCCTGAAAGGTATGCTTTAGGCTATCTCTTTCCCAGCGGGGTCTTCAATTTTTTTTAATGTGTTAATTTTTTTAAAGTAAAAAACATAAAATCTACATGGAAGTAAACTAATATGGAAAAGAGGGTATAAATACCAAAGCATTTACATAAAACATGAGAAATAAAGAGATCGATAGAGTCTGTCCATAATCGGTCGATAATCGAGCATCCAGTTTACACAGAAAACTCTCCTGGGATATGGTGCAGGTTACTGTGTAAGGCACACAAACACTGCAGCCTCTTCTTGGAAAGGCACGTCAATCTAGAAGTCATGGCGCTATGCTTCTGACTTTGTAAGATACACCCATTTTGTGTACAAAAATACATGTGCCAACGTATTATCATGGTTTAGGTTTATACTGTGGTGATCCGGGTGAATTTTTTACCCTCTTTACCCTAAAAAAATCTTTGTAGTGTAAATATTTCATGGAAAAAACATATGAATAGTGCTCTTGGGGCAAAAAAGGTAAGTAACATGATCCTTTTTGAAAGTTTATAAACTAAAAAAGATGATGAGATAAAAACCACATATACACTACCAGAAAAAAGGAGAAAATTTGAACAAAGTGTACTACGATTTTTGCATCACAAAGATTTTGGGTCTTTTTCAGATGATAGGGTAGAAAAAAATTAATGGAACTAGATACAATGTGATTTGTCTTATCTTCCCAACACACATGCTAAATTGAGTAGTTTGAATGGGAAATACAAAAGGAGCATTGCTACACCTAAATTTCCAGGGGTACAGGTGGGTTTGTCCCTGCAGTTTATCTTCTGAACTCCTCGGCCCGGCACCTATGCCCTGTACAATCTCACCCGCCGGCCTGCCGGTCCCATCACGGGTCACTGCTCTCACTGCCCACCCAGCTCAGCCGTACCCCGATACCCACAGTTCTTCTAGACACCCGTGATCCTGTCCTCTTGGTCTGGACAGCCTTTCGCTTTTTGAGTCCCTCTGGGAACCAGCTCAACTATCACCCTGCTGAATGCGGTCCACAGCCAAGCAGAGTGAAGAGAGGTGCTCCCTGGGGTTCCACAGCCTTTTCCGCATCCATGGACAAGACCCATCACATTGCAGGTCAGTTTCACTCCCAGACTGAATGTTCCTTTAAAGCATTCAATTTTAGGATCACACCTAGAACTCTCTGTGTTCCCAGTGTCGAGCACAAAGGTGCTCAGTGAACGCTTCCGGAATTAACTAAGTGAATGAAGAAGCACAAAACAATGAAAAATACATTGTGGGAAACACCTGACATTTGTTTGCACGTAACAGATCTAATTCTTCTGTGGTGAACAGGATAAAATAAACATTCTGTTTCAGATTTATATAAAATCTTATTGCCTTCTCAAGGCATTCAGTGCCTTAGATTAGGACACAGGATTAAATGATATAGTGACATATTTTTAAAAATCCTAATTGGCTTAAAGTACGCAAGCAGCTCTTCACAGAAGATTTCTTACACTGGGAGCTGGGGACTGAACTGTGCCACTGAAATACGCCACTTCTGTTTTCTGTGGCTTCTTGTTTAACCTGGCTTTTTACACCAAGAGGCTGGGATGTAATTTAGACTTGGGTGGGTGATCCTGAGAGCCGTCAGGGTGATATAAAGGCCAAGTTCAAATAGTCTTCTGCAGGTAAACCCACCATAACTGAAAACAGCCTGGGCGTTATTGAGAATGGTCACAGGAAAACGGCAACCGGAACACCTGGGTTTTCAGTCCCATTTCTTAGCAAAGTCACTCTGAGACCACACATCTACAGAGACAAAAACAGACCCCTTTTCATGGGGTGAGCTGAGGGTCTGCTGAAATAATGCAGGTAAGATGCGTAGCCCAGGGCCTGGGACAGACTAAAAGCTCCTGGCTTTACCCACGGTGAAAGCTGATGTTGCCGTGGTTCCTGCTGTTCTCAGGAGCATCACCTACTAGCTGTGGACCTGACCCAAGTCTGTTTCCTTCTCTCTGAATTGGGCGTCGTGACAGTACCGCCTCCCGGACGGCTGTGAGGAATAAGTGAGCTTAACAGCTGGAAGACGTGACTGTTCCTGGCCCAGAATAAGTGCTCAATACTCATTAGCAATGGTGGCCGCCACTGTTAGTGATATTATCCTTGAGGAGAAAATGGTCCAGTGCGTGTGACAGTCCCTGAAGGCTGCAACCTTCTGGACAAATGTGGGACATGATGCAGACAGTCACAATCGAGGGGCAGGTAGCGTTTCAGGCCTCTGGACTGAGGCTGCAGAAAGCGTTTGAAGACTGAGAACAGGGTCAGTGTGAACTTAGCATTCGTGGTATCAAGTACTGTGTCAGTGCTTCAGAAGAAGTACAGCTTCTTTCCTTACTACCTACCCTCTAAAGCAGATCTTTATCCCCACACGATGGGGAGAACGCGGAGGGCCGAAGGACACATGTACTAGAAACAGTGGAAACCAAAGCAAATTCACGCTTGGTGACCCCGAGGCAGGGCCCTGGCGCTCTGCCAGCTTGACTAAGGGCTGTACCCTCCACGCTGAGCATCCCAGTCCCTTCCACTTAGCACAGGAGGACTACATCCAACTGGTCAACACGAACAAAGCTATGTAACCACGTAACATGTTGAACGAACACCAGCTCTGATGAAGCGGTTATTAGGTGCCTGAAAGGAGGTGATGCCAGCTGGGGGAGGACGCCGCACAGGTGTGTTTTGCAGGGACTCCCAGCTAAGCAGGGCTGCGGAGACTTTTCATGCCACCTGGCCACAGACTGTTTAGAAATAAAAAATTTAGCCCTCGCAGTGTTATAAGCGTGACCTTGTATTTCCTGGAAACAAATGAAATACCTTATGAAATGCTTTGGCATTCATAAAAAGAAGGAAAAGTTAATGAAATAACAAGCATTTAAGTAATACTATTTAAAATAAAAACAAGGCCATAAAAAGGTATTTACTGAAATTGCTTTTAACTTCTGGGTCTGGCCAAGGTAAAGAAATGCTTTTATAGATGGAATTCCGGGTTCTGTTTATTTGGGGGAGGGGTGGTCAAGCACAAGATACACACATTATGAGATTATGTACGATGGGCCCACAAGGGTTTTCAGTTTGCCTAAACATCAGAAGACCAAGGATGCTGGTTTACGGGAATCTAGGTGTGTGGCATTCCTGCCTCACCATCTGCTCTACAGCAAATGCAAGCAGGTGTCAGGAGAACCAGGCAAGCAAAAAAGAAGAGGTGGGAGCCCAAAGCACAGAGCTGGCAAACACTCTGTTACGCGGCAGAGAAAGTGGCTGCTTACCAAGTTAACCTGCTTAGCCTGCGCATCTGAATGAACGGTAACTAACAGGGAGGCGTCCTGATTGGCCAGCCTCTAGACGGGTAAATCCAACAGATGCTGAAACGAAGTGCAGCCCCCTTCCCTTCCTCGTCCAGATCCTGAAGACCTGGGCTGATGCGTCACCAGGCAAAGCTCAGGGTTTCTGGGAGCAGCTGCGGAGGGGCAGCCCCCTGGATCTGAACCGCGGTGGCGGCTTCAACCTGCAGGTCCCTCCACTGCCGCCCCGTCTTTTGCCCTGGGGCTCTCCCATACACTGTGCCTCATCTACCATGCCTTCCCTAAATCTGTCAAACCGGGGTCTCCCTACATCTGGCACAGGAACCCTCCTTGGTGCTTCCGTAGCACCCTGGATATCTCTCTGTCTCACAGGATGATTATCTGGTTCCTTCCCTCTCTTTGTAGCTCTTGTATTGCATCTCGCCAGGATGCATCGTTTCCTTCTGTCAGTACAGCACTTAATTTTAAAAGTAAGTTTTCAATGGGCTTCCCTGGTGGTGCAGTGGTTGACGGTCTGCCTGCCGATGCAGGGGACACGGGTTCGTGCCCTGGTCCGGGAAGATCCCACATGCCGCGGAGCGGCTGGGCCCGTGAGCCATGGCCGCTGAGCCTGCGCGTCTGGAGCCTGTGCTCCACAATGGGAGAGGCCACAACAGTGAGAGGCCCGCGTACCGCAAAAAAAAAAAGCAAGTTTTCAATATTAAAAATGAAGCATTTTCCTGAAAAATTAGAAAGCCTGGCATCCATGAGTCCCACATGAAGGCAACATGAGCTACAGCTGAGCATCTGTTGTCCCAGCCACAGAAGAACACAGGCGTCTGGTGCTCCAGTCTCTACTCCTCCCTATCGTCACAGGGGGCAACCTTCCTTCATTCATCATAACCAAGCCGTTTGAGTTTACCATCAGTTAGGGTCTGAGGACTTCATGACAAGAACTGCGATTTCCCTCTAGGAACGGTAACTCACCCAAAATACGTGCCCAACGTATGCTGAAGAAATGAAGAAATTCATTAGCTAGGGATAATACTTTTACTCTTAGGGCTGTTGTAAGGGATAAAATAACATAGGGGAAAATGTGTGCGACCACAGCTTGAGCTTGAACTGTAAGTGTTGGCGGCAGCACACAATTCAGGTGAGGACCCCATTTCTGAATACAGGTCTATAATATCAACAAAGATCACCAAGGAGGAAGATCTGGTATGTATCTTTCTAATTTTAACAATTCAGTAACCTTTTTGAGAATAGTCTTTATTTGTGATCTTATCAATGACCAAAATATATGAATCTGAAATACCTCAAAAAATCTGGATAATTCGTTTCACAATAAGTTGCTTAATTTTCTTTTATTTTCCCCCCATCCCTTCAAAGCCATTTGATATCATCCAGCACACAGGGCATGCAACATGTAAACATTTTCATCTAGCAGAACTGTATGAACATTAGGTCATGAAGCTACAACCAACTCATACATTTTTCCAATATGCAATAAGCTGAAATATTTTTAAAGAAATCAACATTAAAGTACACTGGCAGGCTTACAATTTATAAAATCAGCACTGATATGACGCCAACGCCACACATAGAGCCTTTTACATTTAATGGTGGAACAGAATCATAAATGGCTGCGAATAATGTCAGTCCCATATGTGAAGAGAGTAAAAAATTAATTTTCTTTTTTTTAACATCTTTATTGGAGTATAATTGCTTTACAATGGTGTGTTAGTTTCTGCCTTATAACAAAATGCATCAGTTATACATATACATGTGTCCCCATATCTCTTCCCTCTTGCGTCTCCCTCCCACCCTCCCTATCCCACCCCTCCAGGTGGTCGCAAAACACCGAGCTGATCTCCCTGTGCTATGAGGCTGCTTCCCACTAGCTATCTACCTTATGTTAAAAAATTAATTAGAAATTTAGGGTACTGCTATTTCCAAACGGGGCAATAACCCCTAGCCTCTAGCTGTTCTTTATCTAGCTGTTCTTTATCTCTGTCTCCAATTTCACTATATCCTGAAAATTGTTCTTCCTACACAGTAGGGTTGGCATCCCTTTTTGTAGCCTAGGATGCTCACGAAGGTATGCGGTAATAAAAATATACATATTGTTGTTGGCTGGGAAATGAGAATGATTTCCCTTTTCAAGTCAAGAAATATCTTCTACTAAAAACTCTACAAGCTTTAAAATGTTCTGTTGCCAAATACAATATCTTCAATTCCTCCAAAGTTCAAAAACATTAGAGGCCAGTCACTGTCAGGCTCCTATAATTTTTTTCAACAGAACTTAACCTAGGATATGGTTTTTTGAGACTAATTCTTTTCATTTCTCTGAGTTGTAGGTGCTGTCATTTTTGCTTTAGGAAAATCAGTCATAGTGTTCTCAGAATGTTCTATTAACAAGCGTCTTGTAACTAATGTACTCTTCCCCCAATTCACAAATGTTTCTCAATCCTAAGATACAAATAGGACAATTGTAGCGTCAAGGTCTGAGGGGACCCCAAACATTGACACAATCTATTCTAGAGAATTGTGCATAATAATGTCTACAACACAGCTGTTGAAATTTTTATTTTAGAAGCCTGGATAGATTCCAAAGTCCTTCTTTGTAACATGTGTAGTGTTCTCCATTATAAGAGGCCTCCGTTCTTTTAGAATTTCCTCAGATTAGAGCCATCCGAGCAGACGGAGGGGAAGAGTTGGCTGAATAACATCTAATCTTGAGGTGGACAAGCTCCTTTGTCTTATATAATTGCTGAGGTTGGTTGTTCTCTTTTTAAAAACCCAGGTCTTAAAATGTCAATTTAAAAGGTACCTATTCTGTGATGTGTGGACTAGACGATAACCCAATACTGTTTAAACATCTTACTTTTAAATGTAAACATTTGAGACAGATAAAATACGATGAATGAATTCACTGCTCAGCCGGTAAATCATGAAAGGAAACTGCGTTTCCACTGCTTGACTGTTCTTTTTCTTCAGCCAGAAGGTCACTTTAGACAGGCTCTGACCGTTTAAGAATCCGCTGCCATGAGACAAACGCCTTGAACTGTTTAGCTGTTCCTGGCTCCCCTATCCCATAAGCAGCTGTCTCTTTATTTGGGGTGTACATTTATTCGAGGTGGGTATTCTTATTCAACCTGTTGTCAACAGACAGAGCATGCTGGCCTTTTCCAGATTTTTAAATGCTTGACTTTAAATATTGATTCATCAGATTTAAGAGGACTTGGCTTTCTTCATTAAAGATGCCTTCAGTTTTTTGTGCTGTGTTATATTTTGAATGGTTGAACTGGTTGCAGAGGATTGGGTTAAGCTTGGGTTCAGAGATTTAAATAGGTGAAAAAGGAGAAGAATCTTCTCCTCATGTTAGCAGAACTCCTCACTTAGGTTTCAAATGTCCCCAACATACCCTGGATTCACATATTAGAGCTACAACTAGTAAATTAAATGAACATATTAAGCACAGCATGTGATTTATTACATGTATGTACAAACACATTATATATAAATTAAATTTGATGACCATCTAAAGTAAAAAAAAAATTTTCTTTCTGTTCTTTTAAAAAGCCTCTTAAAGGTTACTTAAATTTAGCAGTGTTCCTTATTCAAGTCTTCTGGATAGGAAAGGTACTTTACATTGCAATTTCAAGTGCATAAAACGTCTTCCTATGTCCTTACCTTTCAAATTCAAAATCCAGCCTGGACTCAGAGCCTAAAAATACTCCCATCAAAGAAACAAATAACTTCCATGAATGTCCCAGAAAATGCTAACACAACATCCTAGAGCTAGCACTTAGTATGGAAAAACATTCCCAAGTCAATAAAGCCATGTGGCCTCAGTAACAAAGTAGATGTCATGAGACACTTCCATGGGTTAAAAAGGAACAAACATAGAGCTCATGATAATGCACTATGTATTCACGTCAAGGCAGTATTTTCAAAATGAAATTGCATTTCTGTGTTTTGTATTATCCTCAAAACTTAATAAATATTATGCGAAGAAAAACTCCTTTTAAGTACCGACATCTCTGTGAATAACTGTCAAAAACTGTCTTCCAGGGAAGGACTCTATTCTCACCCCCTCTAGTTACGTATGTTTAAATTAGATAATAAGCCGTGCTTGAAATAAACATGCTTTTAAACTACACCTAAGGTGAAGCTGTACAACAGAAAACATATGGAGTAAATCCTGAGCGAATGCAATATAATCTTCCCTTTTGCATACAAGTATCTGGTCATGAAATAACAACATATTAAAATAAATCCTTCTGTTTGCGGAAGTCATGTTTAACAATAACTGTTTCCTGTTTATATAAAGAAATCGTCTTCTAGTAAAGGAAAACTGTCATTGGAGTAAAAACCACCCATTCATAAGTAGTTTGTTAAACTGTTTCAATTAAAGAAATATCGAACAACGCTTATGTTTTTTCGTTGTTTGCAAATTGAGTCCTTTTATTAAAATGCAAAAAAAAAAAAGTGACCTGGATTTCTTACAATGGTAACTGCAGGTTTGACGCATAGTTCGCTACCATCAAAACATATCGCTGTATTTGGATGCTTCCAAACGTCATCCTCAAGAGTGTATGAGCTAAATTTCTGTTCCATGAAATGGCATGAGACCCTTGACCAGGGCTGTGAGAGCGGCCCTTCCCATCACTGTGTCTACGGGCTGCTGGCACATCCTCCGAGTGCCCTCCCTTCCCCTCCCCAGCTCCCTCCGGCCCGGCCGGCCTGCAGACCGCTTCCCGCCAGGACGGGCTGGAGCGCCCCCGTCCAGGCCCCGGGAGAGACTCGCGCACACACACACTCACGCACCTTCGCCTACATGCAGCCTTTCTATTTACAAGATCCCTGCACAGCGGGGCTCAGCGCGGCCACTCCCGTCGCCCACGGGGGCCGGGGGGTGCTCACACCCTCCGCTGCCTCCAGCTGCAGCATCTCGGTGGCCTTGCTGTCAGTCTTCCCGGGAGTCGCCTCCGCCGGCCCCGTCCTCCCGCCCCCTACTCTGCACGCGAGCAGCCCAGGCCGGCGCCCCCTCCCTCCACCCGCAGCTGGCTCCTCTCCGCGCGCGTCCCGTGCGGATCCGCCGCGCGGCGCGGCGCCACGGACCCGGGGGCGGCGAGGCACCTACCTTCCCGGGTGCCTGGAGGCTGCTCCGCAGGTCTCGGCGGCGATCTGACGCTCCGGTACGCGCTGAACCGTGCTGAGCGCGCGGCACTCGGTGCGGAGCTGGGCCGGGGTCCCCTCCGCGCGCGCACACCCGGCACGTCCAGGCGCCGCGGGTCCGCGCTGCCCCGTAGCCCGGCAACGGCCACCGCCTCCGGCCCCGCCCACCTGGAGCCCCGCCCACATCGGAACCACCGCCCACCACCCACCCTCTGGGCTCCGGGCTGCGTCCCCGCAGTCGCCCGGGTGCCCCAGGCCGCGGTCCAGCCGCTGGTGGCCCCCGGGCTGCGGGAGCTGCTGACTGCATCCCGCTGGCGGACCTGGGTAGGAAGGAGGGGGCTCACCAGGACCACGGAGAGCGGGGCTGTGTCGGGGACCTGCCTGCGGCTAGGGGGACGCCTTCGCGTCCACCTGGACCTGTTTCCAGGCCTTTGTGCCTCTGCGCTGCCGGTGACCTTCTACCCCGCGCCCGCCTCTGCGCCAGGAAAGGCCCGGGAAACGATGTGACACGTGTGCGCGGCGGGTGCGAATCACCAGGACCCAGCCCATCAGCCGCCTCGTCATTCGCAGATGCTTTTCCCGGCGGGTCCTCCCCATTTCGCTCGCCGGACATTGGCCTCCAGAGGTCGGGGTGCGTCCACCGCCTCGGCGCGGGCACAGCCCGGTCCGGCCCAGGCCCCCGGGGATCGTGGGCCGCGCAGGTCCGGGCTTCGTGCATCCACACGCGGCTCGAGGACGGTGTCGAGACTTCTCCACTTTGCGCGCTTACGGAGCAAGGCTAATGGTGCCCGCTCTACAGATTTAGTGGAAGGAGTAAAAGAACCATGTACAGAACAAATAGGTTTCCGCACTACAATGCTGTAGAAATGTAAGCAATTGTCGTTCATCCGTCCAGTGAGTAAGTGGACAAACTTCCCCCCAACCCAAGAGACTGCGCACGCACCGCATTGGTGCAGGGGCGCCCACCACTTCCTGTGTTGGTTCTGATTTCCCCGGCACACCTGCACGTCTCTTTGAATGGAACCAAATCCCATGTTTCCTTTCTATACCGCAAGGCCCATGGTAGCGGTCAATAAATGTTTGTTGAGAGAATGAATAAGTTGTCACCGTTGGTCACCAATCCGCCCGTCTCATGACCCCGCACTGAGAACGGGGAATGCGCTACTAGGTACTTGTAAAAAATACATTAAAAATATCCTTCCAAGTGTCAGCCTCAAGGCTGTCATGGCCGGAACAGAAACCGCAATCACGACTTATTTTTCACCATTTACAAATGATACGCACTGTCCTACCTGAACGTCAAGGCGAGTGTGCCTGTCCCCAGCCTGTCAGCTGTGATCTGGGACCACATCACAGCCCAAGGTTCCCTAACAAGCCCGCCCTTAGATGGAAGTTACCTATTGTCTAATTAGACCTCACCTTCCCGAGGGCACAGCTTATTTCCTTCATAGCCCAGAGCCCAGCACACAGGGCATCCTCCGGCCACCGTGGTTAAGCTGACTTACTGCTGCTTCTCTGTTAAGGTCTCACACACTCACCCCTTCCTCCTCGTTTTCTCTTCATCCCACCACCCCGTCCACTGCCAAACAGGCCCTCCGCACCCTTCCCCTGAATGCCCCGCCGTCAAACCTCCCTTCGAACCTCCCTCCCGGCTGCTCTGTTCCACCCGTCCTGCTTCCCCCTGCCTTTCATCATGGTCACTGTCCAATGAAAAGATTTACAAAGATTCCTCACCGTGAAGAATGGCTTCCAGTCAGGGATTTCCATGTTTGGGCTCCACCCACATCTCCAGCTCTATCTTTCCTGCCTCTAGACGGGACACTGGGAGTTCTGGCCAAACTGGTCTGCGTGCCTTGCCTCCTGTGTGCCCTGAACTTGCCCTTCCTTTGCGCCCCAAGCTTCCTCTTTATGCTGCCTCCCCTGAGTTGGTAAGGGACCAGCTCAGAAGCCACAGCTCCCAGGAGTCACGGCGAGGTCTGAGGCCTTTTTACCACAATGACAGCACCCTCCTGTCCGGAGTTCCTGTGACTTAGCTTTCTTCCTCAAGGACTTAAAAGGAGTCCTGCTTTCGAGAAGCAGCATATTTTGCTCAAACTTGCATCCCTGATAGTATCAGACATTCACACGAATGTTCAGTAAGTGTTTTCTGAGAGGAATTTAATCTGCCAGTGCAGGAACTACTTTGTTTTTTCTCTGGCCTCTCTTTCTACTTAGAGACAGCGGCACATTATGTAGTTCACTCCCTCTTGCAGCATGTCATCTGTACGTGACTGCTCTTCCCCGTGAGCCCGCTGCTAGCTCTCTGCGGACAGATCCTATTAACGTACACAGCCTTTGGCATCGCACATTCTGGCCTTGGAGGCCAACTGGCCGTTGGCTAGTTGCATGCCCTTGGAAAAGTTACTTGACCTTCCCAACTTTCTGTATCTTCTACCGTTGAAATAAGTTGTTTCATTGGTCGCTGTTAAATAAGATACGGTATTTAAAGCGCTTGGCCCAGTGCCTGGCACACAGTAAGTGCTCATTAAATGGCAGCCATCGCTGGCAGGGCTGTACCTTTTGTCAGGCACACAACGCCAAGCATCAGAAATCGATAACTGAAATGGTATTCGACAGCGGAGAGCCATTGAACCTCTGCACTGTAGCTGTTAAGAGCCTCTTACTCTTTAAAGAAGAGGCCGCTTAAGTCAACAAATGCTCCCCACTTACCTCACTTTGAGTGTAAGTGACCTGGGGACAGTGTCTGAAGGAAGGAGGACACAGTGGTGGTACAAAAAGAATCATATGACTCCCAGCCTCTTTCAGAATGAAACCAATGCTTAGAATTAGGGCTGCAGGCATTCTCTCCCTTTAGAGCACTGACTATCATGAATGAATTGAAATTTTAGTGAAAAGGCTAAATTTTTCTTTTTTTTTTTTGTCTGCTGTGGCTTGAGGGATCTCAGTTCCCCAACCAGGGATTGCGCCCAGGCCCATGGCAGTGACAGCCCGAAGTCTTAACCTCTGGACCGCCAGCGAATTCCCTGAAAAAGCCAAATTCTTAGGAAGATCTCGGCAGAGGTGTTGTTTTTAAGACTATGTTATGGGTTGGTTTTCTGAAGCTAGTTTTAGCAATATCTAAGCTGATACGCAGTGTATCTGTTTAGAATGTATTCCTAAAAAAGTTGAACCAATGAAGTAACAAACTTCTTGAGAAAATAATTTCAGTGATAAGCTAGCTCACTGGAAGCAAAATTAATGGAAAATTGTTTGACTTTCTAGTAATTTCCACATAAAGCACTATTTCATGGGAAAAAGGAATAGAAAGCAAGCTACACGAGACTCCTGAATTCTGTCCCTCTGTTCACAGTGCCTGGCACGTGGCAGGTACTCATTAAAAATTGGTTGAATGAATGAATAAATGGGGGGCCACAATCTCAAAGAGTTGTAAAGTTTGCCAAATATAGTTAAGAAAATAAGGGGGAAAATAACGAAGACCCAGCTATTTAACTAATTCCCAGCGCCCACTGCTGCCAACAGACTATCAGCCCAGGGCTGGGGCCTGATGGAGCCACTTGCCCAAGGTCACACACCAAGTTAATAACAAAACAGGATCCAAAATCCAGGCTTCCTGAACCCTAATATAACCACCACCGTACCACGAATGCTTAAATTAATACACATGAAAAGTCCAAGGAGGGTATTTATTTAGTTGATATAATGTCAAACTCATGACATTTATAGAGCAAATGTGCTATAAGTTGCAGCACTTGCACTGACCCTGGTGAGTTTATGACACTGCGTTGGCCAGACTCTTCTCATGTGTTTACTGAGAGGAGAAACGAGCCATTGACTCTCCTTCTCTGCTTCCCGATAAATACAGGGGACTCTTCCGCACGTGGCAGAATTAAGGAACAGGCTCGCAGGGCAGTAGCCGATGAGGCTAGGCCATAGGGCTGTCTAGGTCCTGGGGACCATTAACAGGATGGGGAAAGCGGTACTTCTCAGAGCTCTTCTCACAAAGGGAGTGGGTTGTGTTGGAAGAAATGGTTTCATGAAGTCACTCAACACCCCCATCTCACCTCCCTCCACCTTCTCACCAGAGATCTAAGTCACAATGGATGATGCTAAAGTACTTCTCAATCGAAGGATGTGAGACTTGGTCACTTCAGAGTGGTGACTTCAGCAAGTGGGTGGATCTGCGGGGCAGCTTGGAGCAAAGCTGAATGGCTTGTGACAGTTGAGGAGGAATGAGGCATGGCCACCAGGGAGCCTCCTCCTGCCCCCCCTTTCATAGCACGTTCCTCTAAACGGTGCTGACATTTTAAAGAATCACTCTTTAAAGGCACACCAGTTTCTGAATGTTTCCAGGGTGCCTGGGACCAGTCCTGCCATCACAGGGAGTCTGACCAGCCAGACCAATGGTGGATGCTTGAGTGTGGTCCAGTCCTGAAGCAGAGGAAGAATGAATTACGTCCTGAGGTCCTTTATAGTTGAAGATTCTAGGCCAACTGATGGAAAACCCTATCAAAAAATTCTAATAGTGCTCATAAAATATACCAAAAGAAGGAAAGAAAGAAAAACAGAGCACGTTTTTGCCAAATTTTGGCTGTAATGTTTGCTAACAGTTAAGTTCAGCTGTATGTAATTCTTATAATAGAAGGAATTAACTGCCCAGCCCTAGAACAAAAGAACCCGAATTGCAATCAGATAGACTCTAGTGGTGCCACTTAACCAGCCCTGTGACCGTGCACCTGTTATTTAATCGCTCCGAGCCTCACTTTTCTCATCTGTATAATTGGAATGACAAACTTAATTGCTGGAAATTTAAATGAGATGGTGTCCTGAAAAATACCGTCAGAGTGCCTTGCACACAAGTACTCAATAAATATTATTGAATTAATAACTAGCACATTAATAAATATTAGTGAATGTTACTAAGTAATAATCTGTAAAGCTTTATATGAAACCTTTATGAGGGTGATAAGACATGAGAGATATTTGGCCTTGAGAGCAGTGCATATGTGTAAAATTTATAGTCAATAAATAAATTTATTCACAAGAAATATATTCCTTTTTTTTTTCAAGAAAAAACCCAGAAGGAGTTAGTGAAAACATGTTCAAGGATTCTTAACATAATCAAATGTAATAGGGAATATATATCATGTACCAGCCCATATTGAATATGTAAACTGAAATCTCACAAAATCCCACTGGGAATCTCCCTGGAGGAATAGCAGCCTTTAATTAACTATTGAACTTTTCATGCACACCACTGACATCTTCTAAGAAAGTGTCAATTCCTTGGAAACACAAAAAGATGTGCATATAATGTCAAAAGATGTACATAATATATATATATGTGCACACACGTATATATACACACAGACACACGAATATATATAATTCCACATTGCATTGATATATTAAATTTTTGTGAAAATTATTTTAAATGTCATGGTAAACTATGTGTAGCAGTAATTGTGTTCAGACTGGTTAGAAATACGGAAGCAAAAGCAACTGTTGGAAGTCAGCGGACTAATCCAGTTGACTGACACATCTATCACAGAAACAAAAACTGCACAGCAGAAGGAAGTGGTTATCTTGATCTTTCAAACTGTTCTCCAGTCAGCAGTGCATTTGTTTTAGCAGGTGTTGGAAAATATCCATGGTGAACTGGGAAGGACACAGGACCAGGGCTTGGAAAACAGGCCATGTAACTTAGTTAAGAAAGTCAAGTGACTTTTCTGCAATCTCAGTTTCCTCATCTGTAAGATGGCTATAAAACTTCCACCCTGCTTATTTCAGGAGGATGATCTGATCCACTCCCTCATTTCCCATATGAGAACACTGGGGAGTGAAGCAAATCCCTCAAGGTCACATAGCTAATCAGTGACAGAATCAGGACTAGAAATAAGTCTTTTGAAGTCTTGGACTCTCTGCAGTAACAAAGCTGCCATTGAAGCAACAGATAGGAAAGTGCTTAAAAATGTAATGTAAGGGTTCCGTTCAGTGGAAGCCTTATGGAGTATCCCCTCTTAAACCACAGTCAAGATCTTCAGGTGGAAATTCACTCAGAGACAGCTTTTGAGACTGTACCTGTACGTTCAGCAATAGGCATCTTTCTTTTAAAATCAAATACAATCTGTTTCATTTCTCAACCAAGACACAAGAAGTACACAATTAACTGAATTAATTCAGACACTGAAGTGAATTTTCAATGACTTGACTCGCCCAAGCTAGTTTTCTACAAAACCTAAATTAATCAGATAATTGCTAATTCTCCCTTTTGTTGTGTTGAAGGAAGTCTGCTTGTTAGAATGAACCTAGTAGCAGAATAAACAGTCATAAAAAAATGTTTTTAAGTCCCAAACATGAACTAAATGACGGAGTTCTTAAGCACACTATTTCTTTGGGCATCTTCTCCAGTCATTATATTAAAAGTTTAATTTTCTTTATCCTAATGTGAACATTACTACTGCTTTTGTGATTTAAAGAGGACTTTTTCAGCAAACAAATGAAAAAAATCAACCTAAGCTGATAATTCAGGATTTTGTGAACATGCTTTGTCACATTGTCAGTAGAACAAAAATTTAAATGCCTCTCTTGGCATGACTAAAAACAACAGTTAAATCTTTCAAATTCTCACCGACACATCTTAAAAATATAGTCAGTTTGGTATGGTTTTAAATAATCTCCACTTAACTGCTATAAGTTTTAAAATTAAGCAAACAATGCTAATTATCCTCCTTAGAATATCAGGAGGAAAGTTTAGAAAGTAATTTAATTAATTGGCTCTGAAAAATTAATTACACGTGAAATGAGACTCATTAGGCCCTTCCTGTCTCATCAGAATTTCAGACTAAAGAATAACCCATCTCTCTCATCACTTACACTTTCTTTGTGGTTCGGCTAGCATTAAAATAGACTATTGTGATGATAAATATCTTACCCCCCAAAATTAAGACCAGAATATTAAAATGAACTAATGTGAACATGGTGCTCTTACATTTCCACTGTATTTTCTTGCATCTCGATGTAAAGACTTCACTCTGTGTGCACGCGTGCACGCATGTGATCACTGAATTGACAAAACAAGTTAACTTCCAAATTCAGCACAGCAATATATTTTGGTTTTGCCATGTTGAGCGTCAACTAAAGTGAAAATGTCGCTAAAAACTGTATGTAACATCATAACTGTTGATTACTCAGTTTTCATAAAGAGTTGGCAAATTTTAACTCACAACAGCTGTCACTACATTGAAAGTACATTTTAATTTAGGAATAGTAACTTTGTGAATGTTTCTGTACATGAGGCTTGTGCTATTGCCAAAGGTTCCAGAAAACCACTAGAGGATTTTTTTTTAAAACAAACTTAGCACAACTTAAACCTCCCTGTTTGAAAATTCTTCAGTTTTACCCAGAAAAGGCTTTAATCATACTTGAATGCCTCTCCAGTGATTCCTTTGAGGATACACACTGCATAAGGAAATGTATTTGATAGGTTGTAGTCTTGGAGGTGAGAGAATAAATAAACAAACAGTATTGCCAGAGATGCACTGTACTCTTTTCTGTGAGAAAACAAGGAAAACATTGGCATCCAGTAGAGTTCCTCCGCCCGTTTACTAAGTAAAGCAACCTGTAAATACTTAGAGCAATTACAGCCTACAGACCTCGGGCTCTGCAGCGGCGGGTGATTGCTAAAGTTAGCTCTCTCCCTTTCTGTCCTGTTGGAACAACTCATTTCCAAGTAAAATGTGCGCGACAGATTGCAAACCCTTTGTACAAACTACTAAACCGGCACCGAGTATCGTGTTTCCTCTCATCCATACACATAGTCCTCAAGCACAGAAATGCTCGTGCTCTCTGCACTAAAACCATCTTTTCTGAGCACACGCAGGAAAAGCGAACTGAAAGCCACAACGAAACATGAGCGCGGTGCCTTCAGCGTGCTGAACTCTCTGCAGTACTCACCCTTTTCGGCAGCTGAGCTTCTCCCTGGCAGCGCTTCTGGGCCAAAAGCTCTACCTTCCCCAAAATGTATGTCAGCGCAAGCCCAGACGAATCTTCCAATCCAGGAGAAGAAGAACCCTGCAGATCAAAGGCAGACGAGCAGCGAGATGAAATGCCCGTAATCTGATCGGTGATCAGTTGCAGCACATCAAAGGCAGGCCAAGTTTGCGTGTGTGAGCGCAGGGCTCTTGGAACGCTCCTTTCAGCAGGTAGTCGCCCTCCCGCCTCCCCGTCCTCGGATTCTTTTGTTTGACCCGGATCACGTTGCTTTCCTCCTTTTTTCTTGCACCCAGTTGGCCCGGCGGTGCCCCCCGCCCGGGCTGAGTGGCGGGACCGCAGCGCTCGGGTCCCCACGCTGCGCCCTGATTGCGCGCTGGAAGCTGCGCCTGGTGCCAGCGGGCCGCGCTGGATCCCTTTCATCTCGCCGAGCCGCGGATCCCATGACATCACCGCGCCGGGCCTGGCAGGAAGGCTGCACCGCCCGCGGGGAGCGCGCCCCGCCCCGGGAAGCAGGGCGGCCCGGCCTCTAATCGCGCTGCACGCCTGCGACTCACGCAGCGCAGCTCTGTCATCTGCTGCCCAGCTGGAAGGCCTGGCGGTACTGCGGGGTGATTCCAGCGGGAAAGGCCCCCTCATCCACCCTGGCTCCAGAGGACAGCACGTAATAATTGCCTCTCCCTTAGAGAAATCACAGTTCTTCCCGAAGACCGGGGGTCCAGTATCCAGAATGGTTCGGAGAAGCACCAGGACACTGCCAGGGGGAGAGGGTGACTTCTTCAAAGTGTGTTTTTGTTTGCAGTGTGACAAGTCCTTAAGGATTTTAAGTAAACTGTCTTTTCTTTGAAATTTCCATTGTTAGACTTTGCCAATTAAACAGCGGTACTTTAATTAAAGTAATTAACGAGCAGATAACCAAGAGTTACCTAGTGTCTGATATCTGTCACCCTCTCACTTCAGGCCCTGGGCGGACACTTAATCTTAGTCTCGGTCTTAGTTTGGGATTCAGAAAATTAGATTTTAAAACAACGTGTACTTCTTAGATAGGTGCAATTTATTAACACTTGTGAAGCATTGAAAATCCACAAAAGAGAAGAATGACGTAGAGGATTGTCTTGCCCCGTGCTTACCCCAAAGCTGTGCTCCTTGCCTTTTAGGGCCGTTTCTGCTAAATCCATAGTTTGAACTCTTTACTCACTAAAAATCATCACATTAGTCTATTTATCCATAATTTAAATTTTGTACTTCCCTGGTGGTGCAGTGGTTAAGAATCCACCTGCCAATGCAAGGAACACAGGTTCCAGCCCTGGTCCGGGAAGATCCCACATGTCGCGGAGCAACTAAGCCCGTGTGCCTCAACTACCGAGGCTGCGCTCTAGGGCCAGTGAGCCACAACTACTGAACCCGTGTGCCACAACTACTGAAGCCCGCGTGCCTAGAAGCCTGTGCTCCACAACGAGAAGCCACCGCAATGAGAAGCCCTCGCACCAAGCCCGCATGCACCAACCAACGCAGCCAAACATGAATTAATTTTTTAAAAAAAGAAAATATGCTTCAAAAAATAAATTTATTGCACATTATCTAGAATTGTCTTGCTACCCTTCCTTAACAGTAGCAGATTCAATAAAATAAGCTTACTTTATTTTTAGTATTTATCCAAATAGAAAATAAAAAAAATTCATCTTCTTTACGATCTAGGTTGCAGTGCATTTCTGAATTCCAGACCACTCTTTTACGGCCTGAAGGAAAATTTTCTACTTTCTAATGGCAACTTGCCAACTTTTAGAAGGCCAGTTAAAAATATTTTTGCAAAACTTAGAAGACAACAGAATTTAATTTATATAACTTACATAACTTCCCTTCCTAATTAGTTTCATCTAATTTTTTCCTGATGTGATATTTGAAAATGTAGTTTATGGTGTGTTTATTTCCAGACTTCTATGATTCTCGAACAAATTTTGTTGTTGTTGCCTCCCGCCGCGGAGCACAGGCTCCGGACGCGCAGGCTCAGCGGCCCTGGCTCACGGGCCCAGCCGCTCCGCGGCACGTGGGATCCTCCCGGACCGGGGCACGAACCAGGGAAGCCCCTAAAATGACTATTTAAATATTATACTGAACTCATTAACTGTTGAAACCAAAAATTTTGCTGTGAAAATTTGTTCGAGGGGCTTCCCTGATGGCGCAGTGGTTGGGAGTCCGCCTGTCGTTGCAGGGGACGCGGGTTCGTACCCCGGTCCGGGAAGATCCCACATGCCGCGGAGCGGCTGGGCCCGTGAGCCAGGGCCGCTGAGCCTGCGCGTCCGGAGCCTGTGCTCCGCGGCGGAGGGGCCGCAGCGGTGAGAGGCCCGCGTACCGCAAACAAAACAAACAAAAAAAAAAACGGTTAAGGTGGTAAATTTTACATTATGTGTATTTTACCACAATTTTAAAATTGGGGGAAAAAAGCGTCAAGCAGAATAAACCCTCCAAGAGAAGCTAAGTTCCTTTTCCTTCTCTGTGAGGATCAAAGAACAATATTTAATTGGGATATCGAACTCAAATTTGAGTTGGGGTCAGTAGTCGAAAGGGAAGGGCAGGCTATCACATAGCTCCTGGGTCTGGTTAATCTGAAGCCTGGGTGAGTCAGGTGTCCTTAAGTTCTCCAAAGTCCTGGGACCACTTTGGCATGATCTGGGACCACGCTATAGGTGATTATAAAAAAAATGATTCAAGCCTGTTATGAGTTGAATTGTATCCCCCAAATTCATACGTTTAAATCCTAATCCCCAGTACCTTAGAATGTGACCTTATTTGAAGACAGGGTCTTTACAGAGGTCATCAAATTAAAATGAGGTCATTAGGGTGGGCCTGAATCCAATATCACCGATATTCTTATAAAAGGAGGGAATTTGGACACAGACACACACAGAGGGAAGATTGTGAAGACACAGGTAGGAGACGACGGCCACCCAATAGGGAAAGAGAGAAGCCTGGGGCAGATTCTCCCTCACAGCCTCAGAACAGACCAACCCTGCTAACACCTTGATTTCAATTTCTGTTGTTTAAGCCGCCCAGTCTGTAACGCTTTGTTTGGGCAGCTCAAGAAAATCAATACAGAGCCCCGATCCAACATCTCAGAAGGCTGACAGTCTCCTGATCAATACGCCCTCCAATCTGCTTCCTAAAAATTCCTCTCACCCCCTGCTCTGGCTGGACTTGTCCCCTCTGGTGGCCAGAAGACTCCTTCCTTCTCCCAAAGTGCCAGCCAGGGGTACTGTTGAGTGAAGCAGAGTATTACTGAAAGTCACTGAAGAGAGGGATTAAAGCACAATTTTTGGCTATTATAAATAAAGCTGCTATGAACATTTGTGTACAAGTCTTTGAGTGGGTATATATTTTCATTTCTCTTAGGTGAATACCTAGAAGTACAATTTCTGCGTTCTAGGGTATATGTTTAACTTTTTAAGAAGCTGTCGAAGTTTTCAAAGTGATTGTACCATTTTACATCCCTGTCAATAACGTACGAGATTTCCATTTGCTCTACAGCCTTGACAATACTTGCTGTTGTTGGAGCTTCCCTGGTGGGCCAGTGGGTAAGACCCAGCGCTCCCAATGCAGGGGGCCCGGGTTCAATCCCTCGTCAGGGAACTAGATCCCTCATACATGCCACAACTAAAGAGCCCACACGCTGCAACGAAGATCCTGTGTGCCACAACTAAGGCCCGGCACAGCCTAAATAAATAAATACTTTAAAAAATTAATTTAAAAACTCAACTTGTTATTGCCAGTCTTTATAATTTTAGCCATTCGAATGGAGTCTACTGGTACCTCATGATAGTTTTAATTTGCATTTTGCTGATGCTACTGCTTACATTTTTATACATATAGACTTCATTTTTTAAAATAGTTTCAGATTTACAGAAAAATTGAGCAGTTAGTACACAGATTTCCCATATACCCCCTGTGCCCTGTACACAGTTTCCCCTGTTTTTAGCATCTTATGTTAGTGTGATATATTTGCAATAATTAATGAACCAATATTGATACATTATTAACTGAAGTCCTTAGTTCACACTAAAGGTCACTCTTTCTGTTGTACAGTTCTTCCAGATTTTAACAGATGCATAATATCATGTTTCATACAGAGTAGTTTCACTGCCATTATGGTATTATACAGAATAGTTGTATTGATTTTGACAAATGCGATGTCATGTATCACATGTGGGATTTTGACTGAGATTCCATTGAACCTATAGATTACATTGGGAAAAACTGACATCTTAACAATAGTGAATCTTTCTATTCAAGGACATAGAATATCTGTCCATTTGTTTAGATCTTCTTTGATTTCTTCAATCAGAGCTTTGTAGTTTTCCTCATATAGATCATATATTTTAAAAAATTTATACCTAAGTATTTTTGGTTTTTTGGGAGTTGTTAATATAAATGATATTGTGTTTATAATTTCAAGTTTCAACTGTTCAGTGACCGTATATAGGAAAACAATTGACTTTTGTGTATTATATCTTACAATCTTGCTGTTATCACTTTTTAGTTCCAGGAGTTTTTTTGTTAATTATTTGGGTCAGTTCTTTGGATTGTCTGTAATCATGTCATCTGTGAACAAAGAAAATTTAATTTCTTCCTTCTCAATCCGTTGATTAGTTGTAAATGTATATTGCAAACTCTAGGGCAACCATTAAAAACTAATCTAAAACCACTTTCATAGAACACTATGCTGGCTCCATGGGTAGTACAGTTACCTTATAACCAAGCGTTCCTATTCCTCTCTCACATCTCTTATAACACTGCTGTCATTTTTTTCACGTATCTATATGCTATATCACTCAATACACTGTTGCTGTTGCTACTTTGAACAGTTATTTTTTAGATCCATTAAGAATTTTTTTAAATTTAGCCTTTATTTTACCTTCATTTACTCATTCTTGCCTT